CTGTCTCAAAAAAAAAAAAAAAAGAAAAAGAAAAAGTTACGTATTCTGTTTTCTTGTTAGCTAGCCCCTTTCCTTGTTTAGTTTAATTAAAGAATTAAAACCTTTTTGTTGATTAGCTTTTATTTTGATTACAGGAAGAGAATCAACATGTAAATGGTCTGTAGTTTGGCCACTTATTGGGTCATCACCCACTGGCTTTTCCTCCTCACTTGTGTAAAAATTATTTGGGGTAGGTGTGGTGGTTCTCATCTGTAATACCAGAACTTTGGGAGGCTGAGATGGTACGATCACCTGAGACCAGTTCAAACCCAGCCTGGGCACAATAGCCAGACTCTGTCTCTTAAAAAAAAAAAAAAAGCCAGGTAGTGGGATGTGACTAGTCCCAGCTACTCAGGAGGCTGAGGTAGGATTGCTTGAGCCTAGGTGTTTGAGGTTGTAGTTTAGCTTTGGTGACAGAGTGAGACCTTTTTAAAAACGATGAAATTATTTGGAGTGCCCACTAAAAGGCAATTTTCTGAAGTGCCAGCGCTATCCTTTCTGAATCAGAACCCAGAGATTGGGATGTGGACAATTGCAGGTTGATGTTCACTTTTTTTTTTTAATATTTGGCGGGGTCTCCTAGACTGGAGTACAGGAGGCATGATCAGAGCTCACTGCAGCCTCAGCCTTTTACCCTCCCCACCAAGTAGCTGCCACTACAGGTGCCCACCACCTTGCCTGGCTAATTTAAAAAATTTTCTTTGTGTAGAGACAGGGTCTTGATCTGTTGCTCAGACTGGTCTTAACTCCTGGCTTCAAGCAGTTCTACCTCAGCTTCTTAAAGTGCTAGGATTGCAGGCATGAGCCACTATACTCCGCCAGGAATGTGTATATATTTTTTTGAGACAGAGTCTCACTTTGTCGCCCTGGGTAGAGAGTGCCGTCGTGTCACAGCTCACAGCAACTTCCAGCTCTTGAGCTTAGCTGATTCTCTTGCCTCAGCCTCCCAAGTAGCTGGGACTACAGGCACCCACCCCAAGGCCCAACTATTTTTTTGTTGCACTTTGGCCAGGGCCAGGTTCAAACCTGCCACCCTCGGCATATGGGGCTGTTGCCCTACTCAGTGAGCCACAGGCGCCAACCAGGAATGTGTATTTTTAACAGGCATCTTGGCCAATGCAGTTAAAGTTTTAAGACTGTTAGAAGAGCCATTTTGGACCAACAACCAATTAGTTTATTGATCAACTTTGTGTCCTTAGAATCTAGTAAAATGCCTGAAATACCTCACATAGTTTAATATGTATTGTATTAATAAGTGAGGAACCCCAGCTATAAGTTATAGAACCACTTATAGAATAATCTTAACTTTTGTAGGATACTTTACAAAGAGCTTTTATCATTATTTTGCCCATTAGATCATCTTTTAATTCCCAGTTCAGTTAAAAAAATTTATTTTGTTGTTTTTTTGAGACAGAGCTTCAACCTGTCCCCCTGGGTAGAGTGCCATTGCATCACAGCTCACAGCAACCTCCAACTCCTGGGCTCAAGGGAGTCTCCTGCCTCAGCTTCCCAAGTAGCTGGGAACACAGTTGTCCGCCACAACACCCAGCTATTTTTTGGTTGCAGCCGTTGTTGTTGTTTGGTGGGCCCGGGCTGGATTTGAACCCGCCACCTTAGGCGTATGTGGCTGGTGCCTAAGCCACTTGAGCCACAGGCACCGAGCCTAAAAAAATTTATTTAACCTCTCTCACCATTCTATATTCTTAAATTTTTCTAAAATTTTAGTTCTGTAAGTTACTAGTTTTTACAATGCAGTCTTGAATTTTCTCTGTCTTTTTCTGCTTTATCCAATCATATCTTTGGCTAATTATACCCTCACGCATGGAGATTGACAACTAGGTACGTAGCACATTATCGTGTCTTTGGAGTCTTTCTCCTACACAGATAAACCATTCAAACTGTGGGAATGAATTGAAGTTATTTTTATAGAAGTGGTATTAAAAGTTTAAATATGCTCATTCAGGTTTACACATTTTGTTGTTAAATTTAGGATGACTCGCACAATGGACCCACGGGTAAAGAAGATCTTTAAAGGAATTTTTGTAGCTGAAGTTTTCGGCCTTTTTGGAGTATACGTTTTATTTAATAAGATGAACACAAACCAAGGTAATCAGAAGTTAATGCTTTCTAGAAGGTATACAGTTTGCTAAAGCACTTTTAGATGCTAAATAATGGCATTTTGGGAGAAATTGCTTTTCCATATTGAAGGTATTAAACGTTTTATGGGCAGAAGGGAAATTGAAGTATTCATTATAGTCGACTATATGATTCTCATTTCTCCCTTACCATTTGACACCTCCATGGGTTTTACTAATCCAGCTTAGTTGGGAGTGCTGATGGAGGAAACTTACCCTGCCTATTACACTTTATTGGTAAACTCAAAGCAGGAAGTAGCATCACTATTTTCTCTGAGTCACCAGTTTTCTCAGGCTAGGGTATTCTGTGCATTAACAGTGGGCACTAAAAGTCTTTCCCATGATGTCACCAAAAGTGCTTTAACATTTTGTGGGGAGAAATTTGAGATTAGAGCCCTCAACTTTTTCTCTTTTTTAAGACCAAGTCACTCTGTGGCCCCAGCTGGAGTGCCATGAGGTCATCATAGCTCTGGAAAACCTCGAACTCTTGAGCTCAAACAATTTTCTTGCCTCCGCCTCTCCTGAGTAGCTGAGACTACAGTCATGCACTACCATGCCTAGCTAATTTTTTATAAAGATGGGGTCTTGCTCTTGCTCAGGCTGGCCTTGAGGTTGGCCTCCCAGAGTGCTAGGATTCCAGGCGTGAGCCACCTTGCCTGGCCACCATCAACTTCTTAACCAGTTTATGCCTCATATTCCATTATTAGAACAGTAGTGATGTGGAAGTTATTTATATCCTAGTGCTCAAGGTCATCGCTGAGGTTTGATTTTTCACGGTTCTGCTTCCTGAGGGTACATACTATCACATGGAGCACAGAGTTAGTTACTGCTACAGATACTGGCATGCTGGGAGCTTGTCAAAAAGTCATGCAAAAAATGAAAACTGTCACTACCAGGATAGCTAGTGGATAGTAAAAAAAAAAAAAAAAAAAAATCTCTGTACCTTTGCCTAAAGGCATGGTAGCTCAGGCCTATAGTCCTAGTACTTTGGGAGGTAAAGGCAGGAGGATCACTTGACCCCAGGAGTTTGAGATTGCAGTAAGCTCTGATGACACCAGTGTACCCAAGTCTAAGCAACAGATAGAGAGACCCTGTCTTAAGCAAAAGCAAACCAAAACACCCCACACAAACCAAAAACCTCTATACTATCAGAGTTCAGGTAAGGGTATAAAGAAAACATCCCAACAGTATTTGAAAGTAATTTCAAAAACTGTATGATCTTGAAGGATCTTAAATTTCTAACCTATTTGATTCCAACAACATAAACTCTAGTGCTAGCATTAAATTGTGACTTTATGTGATGAATTTCTGATCATGACTAATTTCAAGACTTCTTTTGCCATCAGATTTCAGACAAACAATGAGCAAGAAATTTCCCTTGATCTTGGAAGGTAAGCTTTTCCTTAAGTGAAAATAAAAGTATAAACTACCCTTCAGTGGTATTATTCCCATCTATTTGTTCTCATTTGGAGTTATCCAGAAGTACCTAGATGAGGAGGGCACGGTTAGCTTGTGAGCCAGATTCTTAATTCTTCTAGTAGTTAAAAACATAGACTTTGGTAGCTGGGTGTTGTGATGGGTGCCTGTTGTCCCAGCTACTTGGGAGGCTGAGGCAGGAGAATCCTTCAAGCCCAAGAGTTTCAAGTTGCTATGAGCTGTGATGCCACAGCTCTCTACCCAGGGCAGCTTGAGACTGTCTCAAAAAAAAAAAAAGGATAGACTTTGGAATGAGGTATATCTGAGGTGGTGATGGAATGATTTTAAAAGATCATTTTTATCTCAGGTTTGCTAATTTCTCAGAGCTGTTTAAGTAGAGATAAGGTGTACCTCCATGGGACTGTTACAAGGACTGAACAAGATGACCTTATGTACTTAGCACAGTATCTGGTATAAAGTAACAATAAATAGTGTTCACTACCATGATAAGTAGAAAGCTAGAGCTTTTCTCTGTATGTATAATCCTGTTGTCTTATTTTTTACTATGTAACAGTATGGCAAAAGAAGTTTTTCTCAGTGTAAGTTTAACAACACTTTTATATAACTATATGGATAACAGCTATTTTTATTTATAGTTTATTACAAATCCGTTGAACAGGCTGGAATGTATGGAATCAGGCAGCAAGATCAAGAAAAATGGTTGAACAGTAAAAATTAAAAGTAAGTAGAATTTTAATTTATAATTTACATTACTTATTTTCTTTGCTTTTTAGTTTTATGAGTGGTTTTCAGCCTCTTCTTCTTGAAATTTTTCTTTCTCTTGATGATACTTTTCACATCTTTGTTGTGTAGCCAGTCATCACGTTCAGCCTCCCATCTAAGCTGTTTGAGACCTTTAGGAGGAGAGTAAAACATGAGCCTCCCACTGCACAGAAGACTCTGGGCAGTCACCCAGAACGTCCTGACCAGCAACAGGAACTTCTGCTGTGGCCTACAGTTTCTCACCCACTAAGCAAAGCAACTGTTTTTTTTTGCTTTTCTTCTATATTGATTATCAAAAACTAATGTTTTATAAATAAATAAACGACTAAGGAAGGAAAAGGAACCAATGCTCTGAGAATCTTCTTTCTGTTTCTTTCACTTCTTTTACTAGTGAAAGAAAAACCAGTAACAGTATTAGAAATATGTCTTTAAAGCATCCAGAGTTACTTAACAAATTCATGCTACATAAAAGTAGGCCCCTGTCCTAAAAAAGCCACAGTAATTTTTGTAGTCTATGTTCTTTTTTGCTGTGTTCTAAATACATTTTAATTCTTCATGCTCTCCCAAGAAGGAGAAGGAAAAGCCATCCTTTCCAGGTTGTATGGTACCATAAAAAGGTCCTCCCCAAATAGTCATATCTTCGGAAGTTGTAAGTCAAAGCTAGTTTTTAAAACATTAATAAAAAATTCAGATTACTTACTGGCATTATCTTTGTTAGCCATAGCATTCATGCCAATGTTATCAAACTTGGATCCCATATTTTCATCTAATAGGTGGCCAAACTTAAAGAAAAAAAACGGTAAATTTATTAAGAAACTTAAAATTGTAGAATAGCTAACTAATTAAAGCAGGTCATTAGTCTTACCTCTTCAGCAGATACAAACAGGCTGGAATCATTCAGGTTTCTTTTCTTTTTTTTCCTTGGTCCTAAAAAAATTGTAAGCCTAAATTATTTAATTATAAATCTAATGATTTTGAAAAAATGTGATTCTTCCAACATGATTTTGTTGAAAGATTATTTCTGGGTAAAAACACACAACAATTACCTTTTAGCACCATTAGGTAGTTGGCATTTAATGAAAATAATTTAAGAGTTAATACATCATTTAAAAAAAAATCCTCCTTTTCAGATTGTAACAATCAAAATTTACTTTAAAACTACTAGTGAAAATAAAGAGGTTCTCCTAAAACTCACTTATAGTTTTGAATATATAAAACTTTTCAAAATAGACAATACGCAAACTATTTTTAATACTTAATTTAAATTCATATATTTAAGATTTTTTTTTTTTTTTTTTTTTTTGAGATAAGAGTCTCACTTGGCCACCCTCGGTAGACCAAGCAACCTCAAACTCTTGGGCTCAAGTGATCTTTGCCTCAGTTTTTCTATTTTTAGTAGAGATGAGGTCTTGCTCTTTTTCAGGCTGGTCTCAAACTCCTTAGTCCAGGCAATCCAGTGGCCTCGGCCTCCCAGAGTGTTAGGATTACAGGTGAGCCACCGCACCTGCCAACACACTTTCTTTATCATTCATCGGTTAATGGATATTTAGGTTGTGTCTACTTTTTAACATTAATGAACAGGGCTATTATGAACAAGCATGTACATGGCCTTGTATCAGGGTCATTTTTGATAAATTTATTTTTGTCCCTGGTACTGTACTGTTTAAAATATATATTATATATATATTTTGAGACAGGGTTGCACTTTGTGGTAGAGTGCTATAGTGTCAGCAACTTCAAACTCTGGGGCTCAATGGATCCTCTTGCTTGAGGCTCCCCAGTAGCTAGGATTACAGGTGCCTACCACAATTCCTGATTAGTTTTTCTATTTTTAGTAGAGGTGAGGTCTAACTCTTGCATGGGTTGGTCTCAAACTCCTGAGCTCAGGCAATCCACTTGCCTTGGCCTCCCAGAGTGCTAGAACTACAGTGTGAGCCACCATGCCTGGCTTTGATAAAAGTTTCTAAAGCAGGGGTATCCAACTCGTAACCTATGGTCCTCATGATGATTTTCTTAGAACTTTGTATGCATGAACCTTTTTTATGCTAACTAGCTTTTGTTAGTTTTTAGTAGAATTTTTATTCTTCCAATGTATGGCAGAGAAAAAAAAAGGTTGGACAACCCAAATTAATTTCTATTAAAGTGAAATGTATGGCATCTGTCTGGAAAGACTACATATATTAAGAACTGTATAAATACCCATTTCCATGCATTAGGAAGGTTATTTTAGTTTTTGATGCATCCTGTAGGTCTGTATCTGTGTCCTAATGAGTATGTACTTCTATACTGTTAAAGTTGGCTTAACCTTTATTTATTCTTAAGGATATCTAACTGCTGTACTATAGGGTGAGCCCCCCCCATCAGTTCTTGTGACTCTTAGTTTCAGTCAATTTTGTCAGACATGCTTTAATTTGCCTTCAAAACTAATGGTGGTATAGAATTTGTTTGTTTTGTGTTTTTGAGACAAGGTCTTGCTATCACCCAGCTGGAGTGCAATGGCATGACCATAGGTCACTGAAACCTTGCATTCCTGGGCTTAAGCGATCCTATTTCAGCCTGCCGAGGAGTTAGGATAGGTGGATGCTACCATGCCCGGCTAATTTTTACTTTTGTAGATACAATACAGAGTCTTACTATGTTTTTTTTTTTTTGGAG